TTTTTAGCCATCACCCACCAAAACATGCATTTCTTTCAGTCTTCGCCCTCCCATCTTGAAAGAGTCCTGATGCTTTCGGGATCATTTGAACCCACCCCTGAAATGTGAGTGCACTTGCATTCTGCAGAGCTTAAAAACTGAGGCATAGTTTCTGGTGATTTTGCCCCCTCTGAGGAGCAACTTTTAAAAGCCCAGTAGAAAGTCTGAGTCATTGTGAACCTGCTCACACTGTTCCGTTTATGGTCCTGTAGGAAGGCCTCAGCGAGAGAGAACAAAGGAATCAAGGAAGCTGAGAGGGCAGAAAGCTTCCTGCAGTGGCTCTGTGAAGAGCAGGGCACTGTGGGGCAGGAGGGGAAAGTGGGAGGCTTTTGTAGTAGAAGCTTCTAGAAGCAAGGCCTTTCATCCCTGAGGGTGGACCTTTTGTGTAGCTAAGACAAGGCCTACAGCAATTCAGGGAGGCAGTTCTTTCCTTCCCTCTCTCTTCTTTTCTGCCGAGTCCCGTGGGCCTTACTAGGAGCCAGACACTGCTAGAATTCAGTTCTGTGGACTAAATGTACGGGTACAGTCTGGTAGCTGGTGAGGAAGACTAGGAGTATCACATTCTAGCTACACTTCTTTAGTCTATTTAGAAACTCATTTGGTACACATAAAAAGTAAACATACAACAGCTATTATAAAACTTAGATAAATATACAACACCTGCCTCTATGTACTTTACACTGTGTGCTGTCTGCATTTTAAAATAAACTGATGAAGCCCATCTCAGAGGCTCTCCTTATTTCCCATGCTTTCATCCCTCCTCTTCCCAAGCCATGCTTCTGTGAGCCTATGGCACCAACTGAATGGGAAAATAAACTATGTTTTCCAGTGTAGTAGGCCTTCCATACCCACAGGTTCTACATCCATGGATTCAATGAACTACAGATTGAAAGCGTATTTTAACAAATTTTGGGTGTGCATTGAATATGTATGGATGTTTTTTCTTGTCATTATTCCCTGAACAATATAGTTTAACAATATTTATATAACATTTGCATTGTCTTAGGTATTTAAGTAATAACAGATAATTTAAAGTACATGGGAGGATGTGTATAGATTTAAAGTACATGGGAGGATGTGTAGGCAAATGCTATACATTTTATATGAGGATATAACATCAAGGGGTTTTGGTACCCAAGTCCTGGAGCCTGCCCCCTCTGGATACAGAGAGTCGACACTTAACACTTCGTTTTGGCACTGTATGGAGATGTGATAGATTATAAAGGTCACAGCCATTACTCCTACAACAAAAAAGACAATTAATAAAAGAAAAACATAGCAACTTTCATGTACTCAAAGTTTTGCATGACACAAAAGCCTTCAGAAATGAAGACCTCCCAAGGACAGTGTTGGTTTTATGCTTAGGTTTGATGAAGAATGGACAGCCGTGTACAAATGCAACTGGACAGAAGGATTTGACCTAATGATAATAAACTGAGGGAGGAGACCCAGCAAGACCCGTCTGTTCAGATTCTCCTTGGGCCCTGTGTAGCATTCCTTCTTCCTGGGTACAGGGGAGGACCCCTATGGAATGGTGTCTTGTGATCTATCGTACAGCACCGGTCAAAGGTTTTCTTTATGGCCAGTTCCTACACAGGGAAGTAGAGGAAGGTTAGAGTAAATTCTGAGCCTTGTGGCTTGTTTCGGAGGGGAGAGAGTTTCCATTTCTCATGACCTGCCTTAGCAAAGAGGAATTCTGGTTTCTGCGGCTGACTTTGTGAGAAACCAAGACAGGTAAGAGGCAGGAGAGCAGGAAATCAGAGAAACCTTGGTTCTTGAGCTGCTTCTGAGGTCTTCGATTCTCCTCTGGTTCCAAACACTCTGAATACCAAATCCCCATACCTGAGGGTATTGTGATCTGAGCTCCAGTGGCCAGATGGTGGCAGAGAGGGAATTCCCACCCTAAGCATTTCTTCAGTTCTCTGTGGACAGTCGGGTGCTCTGTCCACTGGAACTCAATTCTGACACTGTCTACCTGGAGTTAGTGTCAGACTTCATAGGTTGAGGGCTCGGTCCTTCCCCCATCTCAGAGGCCAGTCTCAAGTCTAGGTTGTGCTTTTGACTGACCTGCCACAAACCAGAGGTTCCGCAGCCCCTGTGTTGTGTTGAATTATTTGCTAGGGTGGCCCACATAGCCATGATCATTTTCATTTCATACCGCTCTACCCTCTGTTCCAGAGGCTTTTGTTTTTCCTTTACACACAGTAAACTTATTTCTGTGTCAGGCCCTTTGCACGAAGTGCTTCCTCTACCTGAAAGAGTTCTCCTGCAGAACTTTGAACGACTGGCCCCTTCGGGACTTCATTCAGTCCAGATGTTGTCTCCTCAGAGAAGCCGTCAAGATCACTCTGTCCAGACCCGCTCCCTCCTGGTAACCCTGTCACGTCATCCTCCATCTCAGGGCTCAGCAAACATTTCCTGTGAAGGGCAGGATACCTTTGTGGTGCCTATGGTCTGTCATAATTACTCATGTCTGCTTTGGCAGCATAAAAGCAGCCCAGATAATATATAAACAAGTGTGTATGGCGGTGTGCCAGTAAATCTATCTGTATTTATGGCAACTCTTAAAAGACAAAATTACAATAAATCTAGTTTTGCAGATCAGGCCGCAGCCTGGATCAGAAACAGTTCAGAATGCCTGGGTCTGTACCATGGCCAGGTTTTATTTAAAGCCAGAGAAGAGGAAGTGATATACAGAAAATGGAAGTGAGGTACTGAGACAGTCTGATTGATTACAGCTCTCATCTGTATTATTTGAAAATGGTTTGAACAGTTGCCCATGTGTGATTGGCTGAGACTCAGCTGTTTGTTACAAGGGTAGGTTGCAGTCCATTTGTACAAGTTAGGTTGTAGTTCACCATATATATGGAGAAATGTTTAAGCCAAACTTAAAATGAAGGGAGGCAGCTATGAGACATATGTAGAAATACTAAAATTTCAATTGCACATAATTCCCGCTTATCATGAAATATTCTTTTGGTGTTTTTTGTTTTTTTTTTTTCTGTCAACTATGTGAAAACTGTTGTAGGCTACAAAAGCAGGATTCCACCCATGAGCTCCTGTAGTTTGTGGATACCTGCTCTATGCCATTAATGAATATGTTTATTTTTTGTCCTTCTCTCCCACTAGACTGTGAGCTCCATAAAGGCAGGTTCTTTATCATATTCACTGCATTATCTCTACCAATTAGAATAGTACCTGGAACACAGAGGTGCTTTGTGAATATCTAGCGATTCAGTGAATAAATTTATATAGCCCACGAGTCGATCCAGCTAATAAAGCCTTGCTCCCAAACATCGCTGTGTGTCATAGCCCCAGTTCCACACCCTCTCAGAGCTTCCCCTCTCCTGGCTGTGACTGTCACCATCTCCCAAGCCTTCCTGACCCTTGTCCCTCACGCTATTCTTGCTCACTCAGTCTTCTGTGTAGCGTGGTGCCTTGCTAAAACATTTCTCTCATTATGCCATTTCTCTGCAAGTAGCAAAAGACCTACCTTTGCTCAGGTAGCGCCCTAGAACCAGTTGGCTTTTCCTCTAGGAAGGAACTGAACTCCCTTGTAATTCAAGGCCACCCTGCAATGAATGTGGGAAAACCAGGAAGCGGGGGTGGGGGGGGGGGGGGTGGGGGCAGAGAAAGCGACAGGAGAAGAAGTGAACAGATCCAAACAGGGCTTAAGTGGTAATGAACTGAACTGAGAGGGACTTAGTTATTACTGAAAGGTACTGCGTGGGCAAGCTATCCAGGCCAGCGTTCTTCAAACTACTGTGCAGACAAATGTTTGTGGAGTCTTATTAAAATAAGGATTCTGGCAGGAGGTCTGGTGGTGGGTGCTTGAGATTCTGCGTTTTTAACAAGCTCCCAGGATGCCTAAACTTATGTTCTAGGGCAGCTCTTGGTGTCAAGAATCTCACTAAACACTTAGAGAAGTTACCTTGTCCGCATGGCTTAGCTATGGGAGAAGGGACCTGCCTGTGTAGCATGAGAACCCCATAAAACAGTCCTAGACTACAGTGAAGGTGTTTCTTGCATTCTGAATAACTAAAAAATGTATTAAGATTCAAGTCTTTTTTTTTTTTTTTTTTTTTGTCTTTTTGTCTTTTCTTCCAGTACCAGGAATTGAACTCACGACCTTGTGCTTGCCAGGCAGGTGCTTTGCCGCTGAGCTAAATCCCCAGCCCCTCAAGTCTTTTTGATGAAAGAGGGGCTGGAAACTGAGGACAGATTTTTGAGTGGAACTAAAACAAAGGGAAGAACCTTCTTTAATCCTGAGTTGATGGCAGTGAAAACAGACTTTGTGAAATGCACATATTCAGCCGGGCGTGGTGGCGCACGCCTGTAATCCCAGCACTCGGGGAGGCTGAAGCAGGAGGATTGTTGGGAGTTCGAGACCAGCCTGGGCTACAAAGTGCGCTCAAGGCCAGCCTGAACTGCATAGCGAGACCCAGTCTCAAACAGACAAAGAAAAAAAAAAAAAAAAGCACATATTGTAATGTTGGCTGTGCTGCTGGCCTGTCAACACATGCACCCGTGCACACCCCATTTGTAGGCTGGGGTGTTGTACTTTTCCCTGGTGCACACCAATTACCTCTTCTCTTCTCTGCCAGGGGACGCCTCTTCTGGCCCACCAGAGCATGCAGTCCACAGTCTTTCTCTGGTCTGAGTACCAGTCACGGTGTTTCACCCTAACAAAACAGGAATCATTTCTGTAGTGTGCGTCTCCAAACAGAGCAGCAAGTAGGAACCGGTTTGTTGGCATAATAAACGCAACTGTTTTAGCAGATTTTTTTTTTAAATGATGAGTCTGGCTCTTGTATCTTTGGCTAATCCATAGCTGATCTTCTGATGAAGTTATGTGTCATTTCCCTCGGCTTAAACTCATGCTAATGATAAGATGTCCTGACTAGTGCTTTTAACACCGCTTCCCTTAACCCGGTAAATTCGCCTCTGCTTTTTTCACACAGGAACTTCTGCTGGGTGATTGAACTTTGGATCTTGACACAGAAACATGGCCATGGTAAGTGCCCCAGTGGAGTGCCTCCCCCGCCCCGTGCCAGCCGCCGACAGGTACAGGATGTGTACTCAGGGATTGTTGGCTTAAAAGCATTTGCTCAACACGAGGGCGGGAGAAGGACAGGGAAAGGCTGTTTATTACCCACCCCCTTTTTTTGAGCATCATTTTCATTTCTTTCAAGAGTGCTGAGTGACTTGACTCCAAAAATTAATTCAAAGACAGAATCCTTTTAACATCCTGAGAAGACAGAAACCAGTTACAGTTTTCTATCTGTAGAGCACTCCGTATTCATTTTAAGCACTTAGGCAAACAAAAGGGAAAAGCTTTTATTTGGCAGGTTCTATCAGCAGGAGACGACTACTGTTGACGTTTGGGTAGCCGGGTCACTCCTGGCTCCTGGGCAGGGGTGTTTCTTAGCAATGCTGATATGCACCATCTGTCTCTTCCCTCTGCTGCGCTCCACTGTGATCGACTCCCCAAGATTTGGTTATCTGATCTTTGCAACAGGCATGGAATTGGATCTCTTTGAAAGTTTGTAAAGTTTAGCACTGAGCTGGAAGCTGAGCCCCTCAGCTGCAAGCATGTCTCGGCCGAAGGCTGGCCATCTGCTCTCCTCCACCCAAAGAAGGTTCTGAACAGGTGGACAGTTTAGATCCTTGGTCTTCTGGGAGAGAATAATAAATAGAGGGAGAACCTTATACCTGGAGAGGAACTGGAGATCCCACCAGCTCTAGATGCTTTCCTTTAGGAAGATAGATGAATAAACCATTCGGGACACACAGTAATACACTCTTGAAAATCCTTTCCTTTTTTTTTTTTTTTTTTTTGTGGTCTTTTTGAGACTTGTTTTCTTTATGCAGTTCAGCCTGGCCTTGAGCTCACTTTGTAGCCCAGGCTGGTCTCAAACTCGAGACAATCCTCCTGCCTCAGTCTCCCGGGTGCTGGGATTACAGGCATGTGCCACCACACCCAGCCTGAAAATCCATTTTGACATTAGAGATTTTAGAATTTTCTTTCTGAATAAGTCAAAGACTCATGTCTGACTTCAAGTCTATTATGCTTTAACTTGAAATTTGCAAACATTTCATACAGAAGTGTTTATGGTAGCCCTGCTTTGTACAGAGGTGGCGGTCGGCTCTGGGGACCCAAAATGAGTGGGGTACTCCTTCTCTTCTGTGTGTGAAGGCTGCAGCTAAGTGACCCATGAGTGTACGCGGCAGAATTACCTCAGTTGCTCTCATCTTTCCTCCCAGAGCCTGCTTTTCATCACGACTGTCATCTCACTGGATAGAAAAAGGACACTTTGAAAGAGAACCATGTGATATAGTTACAATACGGAAATTCCCGACTTTTTTCCATCATTTCGTTGTAGACCCTACTTATATGGAAAATGGTAAATAACAGTAATAAAAGCACAAATCATAGTTATGTGTTCTGCTTCCCACTGCCCAGTTAGTATAGGAAAATACTTAGAATAAAATGATAAATGAAATAAGATACAAAAGTTACATGTTAGCCAGATGTGGTGGCACACACCTGTAATCCCAGCTACCCTAGAAGCTAAAGCTGGAGGATTGCAAGTTCAAGCCCAGCCTGGGCAATTTAGCAAAACCCTGCCTCAACATTTAAAAATAAAAAGGCCTAGGATATAGCTCAGTAGTGAAGCACTTGCCTAACATGTGTAAGGCCATGTGTTCAATGCCCTCTACTGCCAAAAAAAGGAAATTATTTTTTCATTTTAATCTACACTAATTTATGTTTGTACAACATGTTATATAATGTTAAAATTATTTACTCTAATGTATTTTATAGTTCATTAAAATTACTTACTCTAGTATAGTGAAATTTTTTACTCAATATATTTTAATTTTAAAGATTATTTTAACCGGGCATGATGACACATGCCTGTAATCCCAGCACTCGGGAGGCTGAGGCAGGTGGATCGTTGTGAGTTCGAGACCAGCCTGAGCTACAAAGTGAGCTCAAGGCCAGCCTGAACTGCATTGCGAGATCCTGTCTCAAAAGGACAAAAAATACAATAAAATAAAGATTTTTTTTTTTTTTTTTTTTTTTTTTTTTTTTTTTTTTTTTTTTTTTTTTTTTTTTTTTTTTTTTTTTTTTTTTTTTTTTTTTTGGTCTTTTTCAGACAGGGTCTCACTATGCAGTTCAGCCTGGCTTTGCGCTTACTTTGTAGCCCAGGGTGGTCTCGAGCTTACAATGATCTTCCTGCCTCAGCCTCCCAAGTGCTGGGATTACAGGCCTGTGTCACCACATCTGGCTTGTTTACTTGTTTTTGAGTCACTCAGGTTTGAGCCCAGGGCCTTGTACATGCTAGGCAACAGCTCTAGCACTAAGTTACACACCCAGCCCTTTTAAAATTTTATTTTGAGATGAGATCTCCATAAATTGCCCACAGCCGGGAATGTAGCTCAGTGGCATAAACACTTGCCTGGCAAGCCTGAGGTCATGAGTTTGATTTCCGGTACCAAAAAATAATAATAATAATAATAAGTTGCCCAGTCTGGTCTCAAATTTTCTATCTTCCTGCCTCAGCCTCCAGAGTACCTAGGATTACATTGTTGTACCACTGCTCCAGCCAAAAATGACTATATACTTTAAAAGCCCCCCCTCAAAAAAAAAGAAGAAGAAGGGCCGGGGATATAGCTCAGCAGCACAGTGCCTGTCTGGCAAGCGAAAGGTTCTGAGTTTGATTCCCAGTACAAAAAAAAAAAGCTGTTGTAAGCCAGGCATGGTAGCTCATGCCTGTAATCCCAGCACTTGGGAGGCTGAAGCAGGAGCACTGCAAGTTCGAAGCCAGTCTGGACTACAATGTGAGTTCAAGGCCAGCCTTCACTGCATAGTGAGACTCTGTCTCAAAAAGACAAAAAAAAAAGCCACTGTATTTGAGTATTTTAAAATTGTTTCATGGAGGTATAAATTGCACATCGTGAAACGCACAGCCTTTAAGGTTATGAGTGGAGTTCTGACAGGTGAATGTGCACCTGCAGCCAACTCCTCCGGCAGAACAGGACGTTCTGTTCCTGCAGGAAGCTCCCCTATGCCCTTTCCAGGCCAGTCAGCACTCCGCTCTCCACTCCAGCCCTCAACACCACCGCTGTTTTGCTTGTTATCCCTATCGATTAGCTTTGCCTGATCTAAAAACATCCTACAAGTAGCATGAGAAAACGTGAACCCCTTTGTGTCTCACTTCTTCCTGAGCATTGTATTTGTTGCGGGTCACCCATGTTGCTGTACGGAAGTGTGGTTCGCTCCTCCATTCCTTTTTAGTGCTCAGTAGTATTCCACTGTATTAAATTCTAATCTTCCTGATGCTTATCATCTTCCCAATTAATATCTCATCAGTTGTGATAGGTACCTATCTCTAGTCATTCACTCTTGTCATCCTTTCCTGCATGCCCTGTTTCCTGTGCCTGCAGTGAGCCTCCTGGCGCTGGGTGGAAGCCCACTCTTCCCTGAGCAGATGATGGTACATTATGCCCTAAAATTTAATCAATATGGATATTTACAGGGCTAACAAAGAACAAATTTCTTGAGCTTTTTCCTGGAAGAAAAGAGTCATTTATAATGCTGAACCACATCTCTCTATTGATTTGTCTTGTTATATATTAATTTTAATCTCCTAATAGTATCTGTCAGCCACCGGTGTGCTGTGAAGTTCAGTGTAGTGTTTGAATACCGTCCAAAAAAATTTCATTGCTTCAGTTCCAAAAGACCCCTGGGAAACGTTTGACTCAGAAAGGTTTTTCTAGGGCTAGCAGTGAAGCACAATGGTCGTGTTTGCTTAGCACACACCAGGCCCTGGGTTTGGTCCCCAGCAGCTGTGCACCCCACTTCCAAAAAAAAAAAAAAAAATGCTAAATGAAGCCATGTTGGAATCTTGGCAGCAGTTCACCAGTTTGATAAATAGTAGAAGAAAGGAGATAAGTGGCCTATGTTAGATTCCTACGGCTGCTGTAACCAAGTGCCATAAACTGGGTGGCTGAAAAGAATAGAAATGTATTGCATCACAGTTCTCAAAGTTAAAACCCCAGCATCAAAGTGTCAGCATGGCCCAGGCTCTCTTGAGCCTTTCGATCTGCTTAGGTGTTCCTTGCTCGCTGCTGCATAACTCCAGTCTCTGCCTTTGTCTTCTTACAGCGTTTGCTTTGTGCACCTCTGTCTTCGCATAGCCTTGGGTTAGGGCTGTCCTTAGGGGCCGCTGTATTCCAGGATGACCTCATTCTAACTACTAACACTTGCAGCGCCCCTATTTCCAAGTAAGGTTATAGGCTGAAGTACTGAGGGTTAGGACTTCCCCATGTCTTTTTTGAGGAATGTATTTAACTGGTAATAGCACCCAAGGAAGTTGAGGTCGCGGATCTCTATTGCTTTCTCCCGGTAATGGAGGTGGTGATGCTTAAGTACTGGATATTGACCACCTCCAGAATGGGAAAGCCTGGCATTTCAACAGAGAAGGCCCATGCTCTGTGACACCTGAGGACTTGAATGGGCTGATGTGCTCACCATGGCTCTCAGAGTTTCACACAAGGAGGTCTAGAACATAGAACTCAAGTCTTGTTTGCCAGAGAACATGAGGGCATAAAAATCCTGCATTCCTTTCGTGGTGCATACCATGTCCTTGGACATTAATTAAATTACCAGAAACCTTTAGCTCTAGTTTACAGTTTTGTCATCTTGTACAAATGCTCTGTCTAGTTTCTGCTTTGGCATCCCCTATAGGCTTGCACTGGAGAGTATTATCAGAAAGACATAAACGAATGTCAGTGTTGCTGGGCATGGTAGCGCACGCCTGTAATCCCAGCACTCAGGAGGCTGAGGCAGGAGGATCACTGGGAGTTCAAGACCAGCCTGGGCTACAAAGTGAGCTCAAGGCCAGCATGAACTGCATGGCGAGACCCTGTCTCAAAGAGACAAAAACAAAAAAAAAAACACAACTCACTACTTATTACGGCAGTGTGGTTGAAGTCATATTTAAATGATGATGATGGTGGTGGAGTATTGATAGCAATCCAGTTTGAGTTTTTGTTTTAGTATTTACTTTTTTCTGGGTTCTATGCCAAATACGTTTCTATATTATCCTGTTTAATTATTACAACCATCTTGTGAGTTGTTATGATTATTCCCAACACACAGGTTGGAAAAAAGAAACTTTCTGTAGGCCGTGCAACTAGGAAGGTTTGCAGACCGGATACAAACCCGGGTCTGTCTCACTGCAGTGCTGTACTTTGTCCCCTAAGGACATGATAGGGACTTTCACTCACCTTGGGCAGGTTCTTTTTGTTTGTGGTACTGGAAATCGAACCCAAAGCCTCTGCTCTGAGCTAGTCTCAGCCCCCTTTTTATTTTTTTCATTTTGAGTCAGAGTCTTGTTACTTTGCCAGTGCAGAGTTTGAACTTGTAATCTTCCTGCCTCAGCCTCACAGAGTTCTGGTACTACAGGTGTGTGCGGCCATGTCTGGCTCCAGGCAGGTTCTTAACACATTGTCAGAGAAAAGCATTTCAGGACACATCCATGAGACACACAGGAAGATTTACGAGGCAGAGTCAAAGAAGTACGCACTCAGAGAGAAAGAGGGTGGGTACCTGACCGGTACGGAACACTACGGTCTGGGGTTCATGGTATTTGTGTGGTCTTGGGTATCTGTGAGTGTCTGCTGCACTCGGGGCCCGGGGTAGAGGCACACACAAAACCAGGACACAGGGGATGCAGAGCAGCAAGAGCCAAGTTTGCAACTGCAACTGCATACTGAAGTTTATTCTGTAAGAAGTTTTATAGCATACA